AACTAAACTAAGGTCCAGTAAAGACATGTGCATGTGCCGACCGTAACTACTGCTAATAGAGCTATAACATGGTACTGATTTCAGGGACTGAAGCAGTCGTTTCCAAAGTAGGGGGTAGGCTCCTATTTTGGGTGGCAGAGCTATTACCAGGGGGACTAGTAGGGCAACTGAAATTTGATTAGAATATTTCATTTATTTGTGCCCCTGGTTTTCCTTTTCAGTGAGAATGGCAGTAGAAAAGACAGGATTTTAACATAAACTCAACGGGAGAGGTTGAAATATTCCCACAAAAGACACGTTGGTAGGACAGCTACAGCAGTGACATCTGAAATCCCTTCAGTCTAACTAGAGTCAGTCCACTGTAAACATGTCTGTGGCGTCCTCTGCTGACCATTCTTATCAGAACATAAACAGAGCCATGAGTGGATGGAGGGTTTCCGGAGGTGAACCCAGTGTTCCTTCATTTTTCTCTAACTGAAGTCACAACCAGGCCGAGCCTACAGTGGGAAACAGGTCTAATATTATGATGACGACCAGTGAGGTCATCTTGGCTCAGCTTCAGCAGCTCCGTCTGTGAAGCAGGACAAACATTTAGTTGCCAACCCTGACATCATTTAATTTGAGTAATATTTGAAATTAAAATCTGCTCTGTCCAGTTTTTTTGTGCATCATATTTGTGACCTAAATTCTTCTGCTGGGTCTGCTCCAGTCAGTGTCACTTCAGACCGTTGAGTCTGCAGGACCCCCTGCTGGTTCTGTGTTCTGTGCTGGTCCATGTTTTGCTGATGAGATTCAGGAGAGGGGCCTCCAGCATCAGGACAGACTCCGCCCATGTGCTTTGACCCCTCCCCCACAGTCAGGAGGCTGCAGAGCATCAGCTGCTGAATCAAACAGATATCTTAAATTCTTCTCTATTTGTTTACAATTTATAGGGGTTTTTTTTATAGGGTCGTTGTCTAATTCACCTATCTATATCCTTGTCTTGGCCAATGACAATTACAAAAACAGGATCATGGTTTTAATGTGTTGATGATTTATTTAATCAAACTGACCATTTTGTCTTGTTTTATCATATGGTATAAAGTGTAAAATCATCCCACAAACTTTAGTCTCAGCGTGGCATGTACACTATTTGACTCTAAAAATTTAAATAAAAGTATATACAAATACACAATTTGCCCACTTCAAATGCCCAGTAAACCATGAAGTGGTCCTGGACACGGACACGCTGGCTGGCATCACATCTGGAAAGAAGCGAGACCAAAACTTGTTACTGTCAGTCAAAACCAATTTTTGTTGCCCAGTGTATTTCTTAACTTGCTGAGTAACACCTCCAGACTGGGCTGTCAGGGTTGTTCCTTCCTTCCTTGTTTCCTTCCTTCTTTCCTTCATGCATTCATTTTCCTCTACAACATCAAAGATGTCTAATAAGGAGAACGTACATAAATGTCCGTAAGAAAGTGAAAAAAAATCCTGTTCCTGGGATCAAACACGTCATTTAACATTCTCATCATTAGGACTAATGTGCTGTGAGGACGTCTTGAGTGACACACCAATGGCCCAGAGTGTGAAAACACACAAGGCACTGAAAAAGTGCCAACCCTGAGACTTAGCCTATCCTCGCCCGAGGCCATGTGTTGATGAGTCTTGAGTGTGACTGAAACTTCAAAGACATTTCAGCTCACAAAGCAGAAGATAGCGCTCTCATTTTCACCACTTCTCCAGAAGGACATATTTTGACACTTTTGGTTCAGAAAAATTAACTTTTCTTTGCTGATTTCTCTCAAAGGCCTCGACTGCTGCGTCGTGGAGTGAGTTAAGAGACGGTAACATCAGGAGGTTTAACCACTTCCATCGATCTCTGCATCCAACACAGTATTTAAATAATAAGGCAGGTCTCACAGTTTATTATATTTGAGTGTGAGCAGGTCGGTAATGAGGTCAGAGAGGCGACCATAGTTTGGACACGTGCTGGGAATAGATGGTGGACGCGTGAGACGAAAATGTTGGAGAATAAGTTAAGGAAGGACAACACAAAGATAGGGGGCGCAAATGTGCACAATTAACAGACATGTTTTCAAGAGGACAGATCCCAGTTTCAGCTGGTGTAAATGTAATATTGTCAGTGTATAACGTAGCGAACGTTTGCAGTGTTAGCGGAGGCCAAGTTTGAGCCAGTGACGTGCGGTCAGGGGAGGCACTCATTATAAAAAAGAAAAAAAGTACGTAAAAAGTATATATATATACATTTATACTGTATATATTTATATATATATATTCATATAGTGGCAATGGTGTGGAACCCCAGGGTTCACCTCCTGGGCAAGTTCGAATCCCAGTTAGGGCGGTTAATACCTTCCAGTGGACTCACCACCTGCAGGAAGGTTTGGGGGGTTGGTACGGTGCAGGGTGATTTGGGTGGAGACTGCTAAGAGGACGGATAAGCAGATGAAAATGGATGGATGGATATATTCATATGCCGATCGCAGTTTCATATACCGCATTGACGATCCACCAAGTGCAGGCTCGTTAGTTTGTCAATGAGTAAGTACACACGACCACTGCCTGTCAGCTGGTGTGGTGCAGGACGCTTGTGATTGGATAACGAGGCGCAGATCAGATTTCCCATATTCATTGACAGTGTGCTGCTACTTATGTTTGTATTTTACTGTATTTTACTTATTTGTGTGTTTTTATTGTTGTTTTGGTGCTGAACTGCTGCTGGAACTCCCGATGGATTCAGAAACTTCTATCTAAACACATGCATTTTCTTTTCCCCCACCAGTCTCGCAGTCCCACAGTCGACAGCTGTCGACAGCTGATCCTGTCAAAACATTTTTGGTGTCCCCTGAGAAGTGCCAGTTAGGGAACGTAGCATGTATCGTGGCAGCAATTCATGAGCGTAGGCTGTGGTCAACTGTGTCATGATTACACATTTACTTGGTACAATAACTGTCAGACAATTAATCACAATATTACAATTATAATGCTTTTATTGGTTTCACAAAACTGCGTTGTTGCATGATAACATAACCTTTAATGTCATAACATTGTTGCCAGTCTTCCCTTGTTTATTGTTTGAGTTCCCCTTCACTTTGGTTATATTTTCTGACGCTACTCAGGAAATGTTAGGGCCTTCATATCACTAATTATTAGTGATATCAACTTATGACATCCCTAACCCTCGTGTCTCACGCTCCGGACCTGCAACCGGAAATAACAACGTATTCCTATTTCCTTTACACAAATGTTCCAATGTCAGCGCGCGCCCTACAGTTGAAGTTTCTGACATTCACATTCTTTTTTTTTCTTAGAACTTTTTCTTTGATAGAAAGAGCGTGCTTTGACGACTGTAACAGTAAAGCTTATTGGTGAAAATCTATAAAAATAAATAATTTAAATACCAAATAATTTCAAATAGTTTTAAATAGTTTGTTTCAGCTGTATGTACTGTATATATATCTACATGCAGGGCCGGAGTGGGCCCCTTTTTCAGCCCGGGAGTTTTGCTATGGAGAAGGAATTTGAATAGATGAAACAGCAGCTAGCTCTTACAGTGCCTTTTTATTGGGTATAAGTTAACAGAAATCTTTAACACAGATCAGTGGAAAATATTAATCGTATGTGCTTTTTTATCATGATGGAAAGGTAGGCACTGCCTATAGTAAGTATTACTAGCAGTTGATAAGTATTGTGGTAAAAGTTTTGATAATGCAAGTTCCAGAAGTAGCCCTGGTAGTAATATTTGTAGTAGTGCTGTAAATGTGCAGTAAATAAACTGCCGGTTCTCTGCTCCGTGTGTCTGCTGTGTTCCACCCAGACAAGTGTAGGCAGGAGGAGTGTGGTCCTCTGAAAAGGCCTCCTGTGAAAACCTGATGGATGCACAAATGAACACACGGAGGAGAGAAGTCACAATCCAAATCCTCCCGTCTCATAATTACACAGCTTTCCTCCGCCTCCACACACACGGAGGGGGGGATTGTCACATCTTCTCTTCCCTCCAGCTCTCATGGCGCAGCTTGGTGCGATGGCATTAATTGCTCCACGAGCTGTAGAGGCAAAAACCAGTGCTTCTCACCCCGGTGTAATTGTGTCTGTAGGAGTTGAGGGTTTTGAGAAGAAAGACGTCTTTGTGGCTCGTCCTGGGTGCGCAGCACATAGGCACATGGGACTGTAGATGGTGTGGTGGCGACCCCTTGTGGACGGATACTGAAATAGACCTTGTTTATTTCAGTAATTTTTCAAATTAAAACATCGCAATAATAAATTAAAAGGAAATATTATACAATAAATGTAGAAATTGTTTTTAATAATAATTAATAATAAGTAATTAATTATTTGATTGTTTTTCTTTCTTATATGATCTGTATATATTTTTTCTTGCATTTTATTTCCTATAAGAGTTTGTTTAAAGTTGCATGAAAGCTTTCACTGGCTGCTGTCTATTAAAATACTAAATAAGGCAGTGGATTGTAGATTCAAAAATACCATTATGAAATATTCTGGGCCAAGAGGCACAAAGTCACATCTCATTAAAATACCAACGCACAACCACTTTAAAGTTGGGTGTTATTAAGTTGTCTCTCCACGGCTCCACCTGTCTTCGCGTCTTTACTGTTCCAGCTACAAATTATTAGTTGTTCTGCTGCACACAATGTAAAAGAATTGCCATAATGACTAAGCCACAGCAGACAGGTGGGGCCGCCTCCTACACAGAGCCACGTTGACGTGGTGTCATCGTGTCTTCCAGTTGTTGAACACCTTTTATATTTTACCTGCAAGGTCACACCCGCTGCTGGTGCCAACAGTCACCATCAATCATTCGCTGCTGTTAATTTTAAAGACATATTTCTGCAAAGAGAAAAGAACACATATTGGTTCCTACTATAGACGCTGCCTTCATATTTCTGTCACATGGGGTCGTTGACGAGACAACGGTGGTTATTGTAGTTATATGTGGTTCACAAGGTGCAAGTCTGAGTGAACACATGACACAGGGCTTGCGCTAAACATGGGTAATTTTTATTTAGCTCGTGAGTCACCTAGAGGAGAAAACTGTCACATCCTTACAGTTGATGTCCTGCCGTCTCTTCTGGGGGCCGAGTCCCATACGAACCAAGCAGGAGGGGTGTGGGGTGGAGGGATTTCTCCCGAAAGTGCTAAGAGTTGTTGAGGACAGACAGTCTGATTGAGCCTGAGGTACAGTCGAGTTCACCAACATCAGAGCAGACACACTCACCCACAGCCTCCTATCAGAGCAGCAGGTTTCTCCTCAGACAAATGCACTTCAGAATGACAGAATCACAAGAGAGAGCCAGGAAAACAAAACAAAAACAAAAAAGAAACAAAAGTGTGCACTGGCCGGCGCTGGTCGACCTTCTGTATCACTGTATTCTTTTGGTACACAGAAATAGATGCACAAAGGAAAGGGACAAGTAGAGATAAAGAGGATACATCCCATAATTGGCAGGACTGTGGCCACATCCCAATGATTTCATCCAACCTGTCAATTAGGCGGCTAAACACAGATTCAAGTATAAGATTAATTTATACGTGATATTTTAATTTCTCTTTGGGAGCTGCAATGAAGCTCGCCTATATCCCAAACATTTGAGGCATTAAAAAAATTACAAAGAAGCCTGGTGAAATCATCCGACTATTCTGGTTAGTCAGTTAAATGATCACAAACAAAATCGGAGAGAGTAACAGAGGGTTAGAGAGTTAAGGGTGTTGGTAGAGGAGTCAAAGTGCTTGAAGGTGTGTTCTCAGTGGTTTTGTTTATCATGTGAGACGGGAACACAGGCTTTGACGCACCGATGGATACAGATAAGTTCGTCTACTGTCGTGTTTTAAGTGTTCGGATACATTGTCATCTTGTCATCAGCAGAAAAGATTTCGAGAGACTGTTCCTCTGTTTTCTCCCAGTTAGGCCAATCTGATTTAAGGTCCTACATCATTAATGTTGCAGTTGGAGCAGAGGGCTTGCTTGAAGGTTACTGCTTATTTCTATTGCGCTCCTGGCAGGAGACAGAAAAGGAAAAGGAGTCAGTGATTGGACGAGAGCAACAACATTCACAAGTGCTTATCTCACAGGGGCAGTCAGAAGTTATTAGTTCAGGGATCAGTGTCAAATAAATATGTTTTCATAGAACTCTTTGTAACATTAACAAAACATTGTATTCTAATTTAAACGATTAGATAAAAAAAAGAGTACAATTACACTCTGAACTCCTCTGGTTTTTTGTGCATTATTTATAGTTATCTCTGAAATTCACTGTAACAATTTAACAAACATCTTAAACTGCAGCTTAAAGTTTCATATCTGTGTGACTTCCCTATTTTTAGGTGAATTCCTGGTTTCTTAACCAGTTTTTGTTTCTAAGCTCTGAACAGCACGTGATTGACTCTGCTTTCTGTTTTTGTTTCTACGCTCTGAACAGCACGTGATTGACTCTGCACCAAATCATGTTTTTATGACATTTTGTGAAACTGGTATTTGCTGCCATGTAATATACTACAGTCATTTCTGTGTATTCTCTCCACTGTTTGGATTAATAACAGACAAGAGACAAAGTACCAGGAGAACATCCTGTTGGAAAATGGTCTCAGAGTGTACTGTATGTACAGCACAAACTGCTGAGCTGTGATGTACACCGGAGGACCGAGACTGTATACTCAGCTTGTAGTAATACGTCTCTCCGGGCACAAAAGATGTTAAAATGTAATTATAACACACTGTGTATATATTGTGTTACCCACAATACTACAGTACAGTCAAAAAACTACACAAAGGCGAAACAGGCAACGGATCTACAATGACAACAAAGGCCAGACCTGAGGAATGATGCCGTCTGTCTCCAACATATCATTTACATATAATACATTAATGTTAAAGTTGTCATTTAAAACCTATTTTATAGATAAACCCTCAGATTTATGAAATGTGATGATAAAACAACCAATCTTAATGAGTCAATAGTAAGAAAATAAAAGCTATTTTAATCGTACCTTAATATCAGAACAAGTATTTAGGGTAAAAAAAACAGTCGTTAAATACAAATAGCTAAACATTAACCACCTGTTAATACAATTCTATGTTTTCAATTAAAAGAAAAAAAAGAAAATATTAGCTAATGATTATAATAATAACAATAAATCAAAATGGCAAAACATTATCTGGAGGTAAAAATAGCCAATAAATAGTTTGAAGTTAGTCAAAATAATAGCTTCCTTGCTAATCCTGCTAACCTAATTTTGTTGCACTGTGCTGCTATGTTTGCACAGACGAAAAAGGATATTCTGTTCTATTCTATTTGCAGGCACATAATATCCACAAAATATTTGAATACACATTTAATTGGAATTTTAAAAACCTTATTTTCATGCCTTTAGTCAACCAAAACTATTCCAGTATCCTGGCACTGTCTCAACTGGTGGTTGGCCCATTAATGTATACCTGAAGGGCCTGAAAAAGCTAACAATCTGTAAGAATGACTAAAATAATTATGCAAAAATAATCCTGAAACAATGTTTAGACCCAGAGTGTTTGAAAAGGTGTTACAGTAAAGGGGGCTGCTGTGCTGGTTTGACACCTTTCAAAGTTCATAAAGAACCGTCCGCACAATGGAGAACAATTAACCGCGTCAGGCAAAGGAGGGCCAGGCCTCAAACAGGCCAACGCTGTCATGTAGGAGGTCGGGGCTACAAAAGCTGCACAGCACAAAGCCTGCATGACGCAGGATGTAAGGGCCTTTCTACTGACAGGTTGTTTTCAGAAGCCTGAAAACACACTGACTTGAAATATTTATGAGAAAACCCAGCGCATATTAACAAGGTCAGCAATACAGCATCAATGAAACCCCACCAGAGGGAGGGAAGGGAAGGGGCGGGGGGAGGCGAGGGAAAAACCGTTGAGCGGGTCATAGGGGTTTTCTGGACACAATTAAATTAGCATAATGGTGAATCTATGAAAGGACTCGGCCCTGTTATTCCTTTTCTAGTTGCTGTTTTTCCTCGACAGTAGCGTCCCATGAAATTTCTGCTTCTTACACTAACATTTGTGGCGCACCGCTGTTATTACCACAGCAACATATTTAGCTGTGCCTCCAAGGAGCAGGGCTTAAACAATGTGTCCGCTTTTGAAGAACTATGTGCACAGACAAATGTATTCAGACATTTTTGATCATGTATTTTTTGCTGGGCCACATTTTCAGAATCAGACACATTTAGAAACAGCTGCCAACTCTGAGGCACGCTGCAACCAGTGTGTGCAGGCCGAGGGCTTATGTTGTTAGGGACTAATAAAGCATGAGGAGCCTGTGGAAAGCAGAGAGGCCTGGATGTTCAAAGGGAGATCAGAGTATACATCAGCCTTTGTCTGAGAGAAAGAATGCCAGGAATGTGGGCTATTTCAGGAAACCTCTTTGCATCTAACTTCACTTAAGCAGATCATCGCCATCTCGACAGGCCAAGATGGCTGATGAGAAATCAGTGATTCCTGTTGCTGCTTTTGAGTAACGGCTGCATGTCCTCTGGGAATTTCCTGTTACGTCAGACTGTTAGTTCAACTATAGAATGTTATAATCTGTGTGGAACACGATACCTAAACTCCATGTTGGCCGCCAGTAGTAGAAATTGAGTGAAAGTCGGCCAAGATAACTTTAGCATACTCATAAGCTTTTAGTGACCTAATGGTGCATTTATCTCACCTTCCTCATTGCCTCTTCTTCTTCCTGACGTTTCTCGTAATGTGCAAAATCATCAAAGATTGAGGTGGTATGCTTGTAAGTGGCGATTATTTTAAGCACTTGTTTGGCCTTTTCCAGAGGCACTTCCTGAGTGTCCCTGGAGTTGGTCACTGGCTTGTTGTCATTGTTCTCCAGCCGGATGTGCCGCAGCTGGTTGTTGGGCACGTCTTTGATGAAAGCCCACTTCACCTCAAACTTGCCCTTCCACTTGTCCTGAGACCAGACGCCTGCGTAGGCATTGTAGTCCACCGGTGAGCGCATCTCGGCCACACCGCAGAAGTGCCCACTGCCGTTGACACTGAACAACAGGTACAGGGGCCCCTTGTTGCCCAGTGAGCGGTAGGCACCATCCAAGCGCTTGTTGCCATGTTCTGTACTGCACCAGATGGAATACTTGATTGAGCGGTGGATGTCGTCTTCCGAGTAGCTCTTGATAATGAAAACACGTCCATTTTTCAAGTTCCAATCAAAGTCTTTGGGATTGTAGTTGTTGAGGGCACGAAGTTTCTCCAGCACAGGATGCACTTCTCCAGAACAAGGGGAGGCACTAAGTGGGATTCCTCCACACAAACCAAAGCCTTCACCTCTGTTCCTTGGAGCCACCCAGCGGTTGGGAGGCGGGCCGGGCTGCTGAGGATGTTGCTGATGATGAAGGGATTGTGGGGGGCCAGGCTGAGAGGAAAGGTGGAGGTGTGGAGGACCAGGAGCAAGAGGTTGGGGGTGTTGTGGGGAATGAAGGGATTGAAGCTGGAAGGGTTGGTGTTGGGGCTGGTGTTGAGGCTGAGGTGGCAATGGGTTCTGCAGCAAGGGTTGGGCCTGGGCAAGGAGAGGCTGCTGGACTAAGGGCTGTGGAGGCATCATAGTCTGAGCTAAGGGGGGCTTATTAAGAGGGCCCTTATCATCCCAAGTACCAATGTTCATATTGTGCTTTATGGGGGGTGGAGGAATAGTGGCGATTCCACCCATCCCCATGTTGGCTTTGGGTTTGACCTTGGGTTGTGGTTTGGCTGGCTTCTTGGCAATGGCTGCCCAGGAGGCAGGTTTAGGTGCTGACGAGCTGACAGAAGGAGGGAGGTTATTGGCTGCCATGCTGGTCATACCTGCAGTGCCTCCTAAAGGTGAGCCCACAGTTTTGGTGACAGCTGCCACCATGTCTGTACCCAGTTTCAATCCTGCCATTCCCTGCTCAATACTATTCAGCACTGGAACTTTACTGAGCTGAGTGTCACTACCAAAACCCGCTTGTCCGTCCGTGATGGCTCGGCCCAGTGAGCTCGGGGCGTACCCGTAGCTATTGCTGTAGACTGAGCTCTGTGTGGACTGTCCCTGAGAGACACTGGTACCCCAGGTGGAAAAGTCCGCATTTCCAGGGAAAAAATTGAAGCCATGTTGACCGAGGAATGGAGGGGTGTTGCCCAGGGCTCCTGGCTGACTGAAGACACCGTCAGGGATAAAGTGTGGCTCACCATTGCTCATCTGTCCATAGGTTGTAAGGTAGGGCATTGGAGGGTCTCCTGCTGTAGACCAAGCAGCCTCTCCAAGGGAGTAAGGGAAACTGATGGATGGAGCATAATAGCTGGGCATGTACGGGTCAGACATTGGTGGATAGCTGTTACTCTGGAAACAGAGGGACAACTGTTAATGTTTTATACAACAATATTCTTAGTTCAATTCTTTCTTTTGTCCTGTTTTTTATACTTTTAATAGTCACATGACCTTTTACTGAGCTCTGTAACTCCTCTACAGTGGTAGTATCAAAGGAGGCTTTGACCAATTAGGTCGGAGACTTTACTACTATCCCAACTACCCTTAATGAATCCTGATATAAATTAAAAGTTCGAAAGCAAGAAATAAAAATAATATAAAACCTGTTGGTAAATATCATCACAGCTTAATTTTAAACCATATTTTAGAGGAGAGCAACATTGGACAGTGACACAAACTGTCTTTTAAAGCAGACTACATTACGACAAAATGTTACCTGATTTGTCTGGCCGCTTAAGTAAGGCTCAAAATCATCATCATTCACACCATCCTTTTGATGCATTGATCCGTTTTGTACTAAGGATTAGGAGACAGAGGACAATTAATCAACATTTGGTCAAAATATATGCAAAAATACAAGAAATATTAGATATTATAATATATATGAGATTTGTATCAGCTTATAATGCACTTAAGTTAAAACAAGTATTTGTTTCAGTGCTGCAAGAACCCAGACAAATTGTGAGGAGCACATTCTGTACAGAAGATGTCAGAACATCTTGGACCAGACGGACATTATCTTCTATCCTGTTCATCACACAGTACTCCAAATTTTTAATTAAGACCACTCTGGAGCTGCTGCTATTGGCTCTAAGCCATTACTTTGTCTTGGTTTATGTGAACAGTTCTCTGAGTGAGCTGCAATTTAAACCACTGTTTCAAGGCACTCTCAGTGTAAAGTTAATTATGTCATGACCAAATATGGGAATCCAGAATATGTATTTAATATGTTTACTATATATACCCCACGTAAGCATAGGTGATGTACTTATGATTGGTCCAGATTAAATATCATGATCACACAGGAGGAGATAAGTGAAAGCATGGGAGATGACATGACCTGAGAGTGGATGTTGTATATGATTGACAGTTACAGCTGTCTGATTGGAGCTGGTTTGCAGGTAAGGTCTGTGAGCCCTGGCCTTTTAAAACCAAAATGATGCTAATCAGGGTTGCCAATGAATGCTAGTCTCAGATCAGAGTCTGTAGTTAAATGACGCCACTTGTTTATTTATAACCTCCAAAAATATCAATATCATATCTGTTCCCTGTCACTCATCCAGAACTCCTTTACAGAAAGTGCAATGTCAATTTTGAACATTTCAGATCCCTTTAGATCAAATCCAGTACTTCCTCACTTATCTCTTCTATTGCTGTATTATATATTCAAATAGCAAACATATCAAACTAGCCACTGAAGCTATAAGCACTTAAGTATTTTCTAAAGTTAAAATAGCCAAATTAATTTAAATTCTTATTACATGGACTTACTTTCAGAAACAGAGCAATTTTAATTTTCTTTTTGGGTTCACTATGCATGAACGTGTTTGTGTTTTTTTTCATGGTGTTTAGCCAATTGAGTTTATTGCTTTTAACCAATGCTTAATTTTGCAGCTAAATTACAATTACACATTCAACATAACCAGTTTGAGGCACTAACACTGTGAGCATCTGGTAGGCCTTAGAAATGTCATGATATAATACAGTTTTTAGCTTCTTCACTTCTAAAAATCCTATAATAACTAACATACAACTCACCTTTATTTCCTTGTCCTTTGGGTCTCTGAAATAATGGGCAGCACATGAGAAATAGAGAAATTAGGATGTTATAAAATCACGACAGGACACAAAAAAAACCACACATTTACACGAACATACACATATATATATATATATGCACACACACAGGTCCGGATTCACATAACCTCAGACTGGAGCCACCGGCCCGGATGTATGTTCACATTTACAGGTTGCTTGTTGTTATTGACCGGATGTCAAACGCAGCGACATCCAGTAAACGGTGCCGCATTGGTAACCGGCTCCAGCTGGACTTGTTATGCCTCAACACTCGGCCTACATTACAGCTAAAACAGCTACGCAGCCACACTCAGTAGCCTGTTTGATCTGACATGTCAAACTGTTGTCGCTAAAGTTTGATTCCGCAGCACTGGCTAATTCCACACACAGCCCGGTTCACACGACCAACCTGATCCACCGTGGTCGCAGACATCATCCAGGAACCGAAAGTGTTCGCTGTTTGTAATACTGCCCCCCGCTTCCTCTCTCTCCTTCTGCCTGTCTGTGTCTCTACACTTCGCCGCTTTCCTGGCCCGTCTCCTGGCTGCTCCAATCACTCTGTTAACGTTACAAGGCAGCGTTTTTTTCCCCTCCCGTGGTCAAAACCTGACGACGACGACGATCGTGCTGTTCGTCTTTGGCTCCTTTACAAACGGCGGCTGTGTGTCTGCAGATACGCGGCGTCAGCGGTCGTGTGTGATCCAGCCACAGAGGGTGGTTTATTAGTCAATCTGAAACTGACTAGTGCCTTACTGGAATATCCCTCACCATATTCCACAATGGCGGATCGGCGCTTTACTCCCGCTTCCGTTCCGTTTCTGCTGCTCCGTGACCTTCCGCTTGTGACGCTGTGAGTCATGTTACACACTGACACTTCACATGACTGTCACAATCAAACAAGTCCCACGATACTTGTGTTTCAGTGCATAACGTTTGCTTGTACAACCATCTAGCATGTGGTTGCTTTTTCTTTTTTTAAAATCTCATTTCAACCTACAAGTGTTGCCCCCTGTTGTATTAACTGCACCAGACGTGATGATAACTGGAGTTCGTGGAACTGTTTTGACTCTTCCATTAAAGTACATATTTGCTGTCTTCAAGCTAATACAGTAAAATTGGCATGTTAGCCCACACGTGAGAAAGATAAAGCCCAACGGACAGAAGCGAACCATAAACCAAAATGCTACAAATTATTCAAAAAGAATCCAAAACGGATTCTGAAACTAAAAGTAAATCGTTTAATTCAAAATATGCATATAATTTTTTAAATAATCACTTTGCTTACCTGTACAGGATACAGGACTTGCATCTCTATTAACAAACAACACGGAGTTTTCCTTTCCATTCCTATAGAGGGTGCTATAGCCACAGTTTATTTGTCAAAGGAAGCAGTACAATGTTTTTTTTTTTCAGTATCACTTTCTAATAAAGCTTGACTAATAGTTAAAATTACGCTTTTAACGGTAGTATTTGCTTACTAAGTACAAGAAATGAACAATGTGACAGACATGTATAAGTCATCTGTGCATCTGTGAACATCAATGAAAAACATAATTGAACGTGTAGTATTAACACAATACTTACATAATTTATGTATTTATTATTTTTTGGTGAAATTACCTCTTTAAAGTGACATTTATCTAAAATGTATTATTATTAGTGACCTTTTTTCTTCTAATGCTTGTGGCCTTGCTCTGCTGCGAATCTCGCGATACTTCCTCGGTGGTCTCACAGCAGTATGGCAGCAGTGTCGTTGAGGTGCTGGAGTAGAGGACTTTCACAAATTTTAAGTAATGGGGGCTTGTCAGCTCTATTGCCGAGGCATTTTGAAGGTTTGTTTTGAACCTTACCATTGTCACATGTTATTGTTACGGCTTTAGTTTCCTTTAAGGTGGTTTAAACGGTCAGGAGGGGGTGTGGCTGATACTGCGCCCTCAAAAAGTGAGGACATGTAAATGGTGCTTCGGTTGTAGCTCCTGCTATTTTCTTTTAGCGAGCACGGGTTTGTTGTTTGTTCAATTACTTGCCAAAAAAGTCTTATTAAGTTTATACCTTTCGTCATTATTGCATCGATTGGCAGTTATGAGACCGTTGTCCGTTTGTACCCGGTACCTGTATGTAGTTAGCATCGTTAGCATCAAGCGTGGCTTACATAATGTAATTTTATTTAGTGTGCGGTCAAAACGACTACCTTGTGTACCACAATCTGGCATTACAAATTAAGATATATCTACTGTATATACTGTACATTCCAATAATATGATTGATATTAATCTATTTTTAATAGACAACAACCTCAAACCCTTTTATTTTTTATTGTGGTACTACACGTAGTTTCAAATCTTGTTGCTTCAGCAGTAATTGTTTTGTTTGTTTGTTTTTTGTTCATTTTTTTTATTTGTCCACCAGTCGACAAAAGACACAAATCCACAGTTCAGTATGCATCACGACCAGACCTTCCAAAGCTGGCCTACAGGAGATTAAAGGGGAAGAGCCCAGGAGTGGTCTTCCTCCCAGGATATGGTTCTAACATGAATGGACAGAAAGCTGTGGCACTGGAGGAGTTCTGCAAGTCACTGGGGCACTCGTACCTCAGGTAAGACATTTTAATGAAATAAACATGCTGTGTAGAATGGTGATTACATTTCATTGTTGTAGTCACAGTATTTGCTCTAAAGTAGATACATATTTCTTTTGAATTGCCATCTCACTGTGGTTAATGGCAGAGACCACTGTCACATATGCAAATTACTTTTATTTTCAGGTTTGACTACACAGGCCATGGGGCATCAGAGGGGGTATTAGCAGATGGAACAATTGGTACCTGGAAAAAGGATGTCCTATTTGTGTTGGATGAGTTAGCACAGGGGCCACAGGTAAATATTTCAACATGTTTTGAAGAGTTTGTATGCAGTTGTGTATTTGTTATTATTATGATCAAACCAGTGCAAAAAAGACTATTACGTAAGGTTTACATTAAGTATGGTTTTATTTAATTTTTACGTTGTGATCACTATTTTTTTTTAAATATCAACTATTACATCCTTCTACAGCACACATAAAAGCAGTAAGTAAAATAATTCAAGTTGGATTTAAGTTAAACAGCACTTATCAAAATGTGTTCAAAGTTGAGTGATAAGAACTTCTGTTTTTAATATAAATTGATTATGAAGTTAGATCATTCAGAGTTTCTAACTGTGAACACTGATGCATAACAGCATGTTGGTTTGAACTAGAACTGATTTACAGTGTGAGGTTTAGTTAGATCCATGCAGCATGACTGTTAGGAAACTATGGTTGCAGTTACATACCAGAAAAGATGTAAAATCTCTTTCACAACTTTCTCAAATCCTCAACTTTCACTGAAGTTTCCTCCCACTTTTTCATTGGTTCATGCCTTGGGTTTATGTGGGCAAAGCCAATCCTGCCTTGTTTGCATACTCTGCTTCAACAGTCATCACAGGTCCTTTCTCAAGAGCATAAACAGGCTGATCATAGGACTTAGGAAACATACCTAATGCAATATTAAACTAATCAAACACTTTCTTATGGATAATTTGTTCAATTTTGCCTTGCACCCCTCTGGGATTTTGCCACCACTAGTCTTTGGCAAGGCATTTTTACACTTTTTAAGGCCAAATTAAGTCAAATTTGTCAAACGGTTTTACAAAACATCAAGCTGAAACTATCATCTTGTGAGTGGAAAGTGTATTTCTTTACATCACCAGATGGAGGCAGTGTGCGTCCACATTTATTAAATTATTAGTCCCATCCTGCATTATGCCATGATTGCTTTTTTTCTAAAGATTAAACTATTTTCTTTTTAAATTGACTATTTTTTTAAAGTCGGTTACTCTATTGTAAATGTTTGCTTGTAGATACTGGTTGGATCCAGTATAGGTGGTTGGCTCATGCTGCTGGCAGCCATTGCAAAACCAGAGAAGACTGCTGCCCTGGTGGGCATCGCCACTGCTGCCGATCACATTGTGACATCTTTTAACTCCCTTCCTTTAGAGGTATGAAAATGTAGTATTCTTTAATACAATCAAATCTTTTTCACAGCTCCTTGTTTTCTAAGTCCATATTTCAATCTGCAGACGCGCAAAGAGTTTGAGGAGAAGGGAGAGTGGACGGTGCCCACCAAACACTCAGAAGAGGGTTTTTACAAATTCAGCATGAACTTCCTGCAAGAGGCTGAAAATCACTGTGTGCTTCAGAGCCCCATCCCGATCACCTGCCCAGTGCGGCTCATTCATGGGCTGAAAGATGAGGACGTCCCCTGGCATATCTCCATGCAGGTTGCCGAACGAGTCCTCAGTCCCGATGTAGATGTCATCCTCCGGCGACACGGCCTGCACCGCATGTCTGAGAAGGATGACATCAAGCTCATGGTCTACACCATTGACGATCTCATAGACAAGCTGACCACCATGGTCTGAGAGAAAAGAAAAAGGAGTCACCTTGAGTGGTTAGGAAGAGTGCTTTGTTTACTTGAAAGTCTACCCTCAAGGAAAATTACCAAACCGTGGCATGTTCCTCTGCCAAATATGACCTTTTATTCTTCTCTTTGTTTCTTTTGTTCCTCGCCACCTGTCATGTTCACATTCTGTTACAGGTCAAGATGGCTTATAAAGGGAGCCTCACTGTGTGTTGTTCCTTTAACTCTTCAGGTTGCATTAGTATATGTTCCAGGTTGTTAGATGGACTGTCCTGTTGGTCAGCCAATAAGAGCTCTGCCATTGCTGTTCTTTTTATTAGGCTGTTCCTGTTCCTTCTGTGATTCGTTTCTCTGTGCCTTTTTTAAAAACACACTTCTCACTAAGTTTGGCCAATAAAACCTCTGCACAGTAGAGTGCAGGTCTCAGTCTCGTATGTCAGCTAACACTGCATGACAATCATACAAACAGCAGAACTCATACTTAGAAAAATAATCAAATATAAATAATGAAAACATTGGTCCAGATCTAAAGGTTTGTAGGTTACAGTCCTGTTCTTAGATGCAGGACTTTCTGTTACTTGAGTCCTACTGCCTGATGGCCTTTAGCCATTGAGAAGCCTTGCTGAATGGAGCTGCTGGACTGTTGATTATTAACATGTAATTGGGCCACTACCCACACTGGGCTCAATGGGGTGAAACAGATCACTTAACTCCCAGGTCTCCTTAACTGCAGCTGTGACCTTTAGCTCGTGGCACAGCTATGTGGTGAGTCATTTTGTTTGTCAAAACTACAATTGAATAAATTTATAGCTCTATACAGTCTTATAATCTTGTAATGAAAGCAGTAGAGATTGGCTAAACTGATCTGGGGACACCAACCACTCCCTGTAGACTTTAATTAGGTTTGTGCAGCACTAGGCCTTTTAAATTGTTTTGTTTCATGAAGTACAAAATTGGCATATATCACAGTTGATGTCATAGCCATGGTAGTGAGATCAGCTCCTATTGTGTGATATGTAGCAATCTTTGACTCTACAGCAAGTACTTATGAACAACCCTCCTCTCAAAGGAGGTTATTTCTAAATTTCTGTCCTTGGAAAAAGTTATATTTCAGCACTATTCCCTTCATTTAACTCTCTAGTATAGTACTAAAGTGTAGTTCTAGTATCTATGTAAGAAATTAGTAACACATGTGCTAGATAGCAGAATGACTGCTAATTTAAATGTTAGTTGATGTGTACAGTCACTGACACGTCATGTTCCATATGCATTACATATTGGAATATTCCTGATCAAGGCACATGTTCTCCATTATTTAAATATATATTTAAAGACCATTAGTTACCACAGGGGATTGAACAGGTGAGTTTTCATAATGATGAAAATAAAAACTCACAACTTCCAACTTTACATTTATATCCTTCTATTTCGTACATTTAAATTTTGTAATTGCCTTATAACGTTTATATCCTTCTATTTCTTACATTTAAATTTTGTAATTGCCTTATATTAATTAGAGGGCCCTTATTAAAATTTAGGCGTTCCATTTGTTGGCCTCGACCCCGAGTGTGCTAGTGATTGCAGCGCAGTGGTCAGTGTCCGGTCTGTCACACGGGACTCCTCCTGGAGGAGCTGGCATATAAAAACCAGCCCGTCGCTCCTCGCGGTCAAAGTGATACTCGGGCTGGTCCTGACGTTTCTGTGCTGCGCTTCATGGATTCTTCCTCAGTGCAGCATCCTCATCCGTGTCCAGCTCAGCAGAACTAACCCTGCGTTCCTCCAGCAGCCGTCACACCGCTCTCTGCTCTCCTGTGAGTCCTCATCATCTTCACCTTTTATTTAACGCATGCCACATTATCTTTTAATGCAGTGTCGCAGTTCAGATGTAAATTTTTTTTTTTTAGCTTTAGGTTTTGTTTATCTTTTTATTTGCAGCGACCTTAGCTTTGAATGAGAATGAGATGGAACATTGTTTGGCTGGATTCCAATTTGATTTACTTGTTTTAACAAAATGCGCAGCAAAGACAACACAACCTTCATCCGCGGCAGCAGCACTGACGTCATTTAATTCATCAGCGTTGCAGGCTAAAAATAGAACCACCTTTTATCGTGCGGTTTATAAGTGCCTCGCAAAAGGATAAACTTTAACAAATAAATAAAGGACGTTTGATTATTGTTTAGAAATGTGTCGTCAGTATGACAGTATGCCACTTTAACCATCATGTCATGGAGCACATGGGGGGAAACAGCCTATAGTGGAAAGTGGCTTGATTGCTTCCATAGCAATGAGAGGGCATGTCCCTTCTCTGGACAGCTGCCAGGGACCACACCCTTCCATCTACTGTCTCCAGAGACGTTCCTGCTGGGGCACAGTGACAGGTGCTGATGTATGGATTGGCCTTTTGGGTTTTAATCATGAAATAATTTGAATTATGGAGCAGATGTTCAGCTCTATAAGTGGTATCTGTAATAAATAAATGGCAAAATAGTGTTTTTTTCCCATATCCAAATTAAACCTCCTTAAACTTTGCCTGAATTAGATCTTCCAGTGTATGCAGAAGACCGACCAGACCAGGTTCTTACCTCCTTGTTTACTTACAATATCAACGCAATCGCTGTGCAACATTATTTACTTTCTGATAAATCCGACAAATCTCAGGTACAGTGTCGATTTGTTCTCTTTAGAATTTCCTTACATTGACTGGCGCATCATCTCAGCTGCCATGGCAAACCGGGGCCCCAGCTACGGACTGAGTCGAGAGGTACAGGAGAAGATCGACCAGAAGTACGACCCAGACCTGGAGCACAGGCTACTGGACTGGATAGTGGCCCAGTGTGGTGGAAGCATGGAGAGACCACAGCCCGGCAAACAGAACTTCCAGAAATGGCTGATGGATGGAACAGTAAGTGGCCGTCATATCTGTGCTCAATATAGAAAATGCTGTTAAATTATTTAAAACCCCAGCCTCTGTATACAGTCTATGAATTGAGTTAGATTTAAAGAGACCATGAATAATATAACATTAACTGTCAGAGCTCCGTGCCCTCGAGCTGATGTGAACATTATCTTTTGCTGTAAAAAACAATTATATTCGATAATTTTCGGCTTTGCTTTTTGAAAGATAACAGTGAGGTTAAAGTGATGACACATCTGAGAACTTTGTACCCAAATTATTGTGCAATCCTTTGACTGGAAACCACTCCACCTTCATCAGCACAAATTGCAACCAAATCTTAAAGGTTTGCTGCTCACTGTGCTCCTGTCTGACATCCAAGCTGACTCAGGTGTTTAAAAATAATCACTTGTGAAAATCTATCAAAGGCAGAGCGTTGGGACCGGTTACTGCAGCAGCAATTAGCTCGGCAGAAAATCCATGGTCTGTGCTTTCTAACTAGACATGGCAGCAGTTGTTCTGATTGTTTACTATCACTAATAGAAGCATCAAAAAGGTGAATGGGAATATGACAGACCTTTTGCTAAAATGAATATATAAATGCATTTTACTGTATTAAAGAATGGACAGTAGACCCATTGTTTCATCAGTGTGTTGTTTTGGATGACCATATTGGGCAGGGCATCTAGGTTAAAGATAAAATGCTGTGTCAGTACTGGATAACCAACTGTGATGACTGCCTAAGGGAAATGATTTTTTTTTTTTTTGGACTCACTCTTAGTATTTGATATGTCTACCTTTTTTCCAGGGCTGTTTAATGATTAAAATAGTTCATCTGATTAATCACAGGTCTGCTGAGGATTAATCATGATTAATCAGAATAAATCATCATTCCTAAAGATAGTATGACAAAAGACTGGAAGTAAAAGACAAATAACTAAAGGCTGATGCATGTTTTCTGTTTGGTAAAAATACAATAAGATGGAATTGTTGGACGAAAAAAATTAATGAAAATATATCTCAAAATTTAGCTTAGCACAGATCGTGGATTCATTACTGAGGTGTTACTGTGCATCTCAACGGCGGCTGCATTTGGAGTAAAATGATCTGCTGTAGCAACCCATGAAGAGAATAATCAGCTAAATCTATGTATTTATTTTCTACCTGACACTTCGGCCAGGTTCTATGCAGACTCATCAATAGCCTTTACCCAAGAGGAAAGGAGCCAATCAAAAAGATCCAGGAAACTCAAATGGCCTTCAAACAAATGGAGAAGATCTCTCAGTTCCTGCAGGCGGCCGAAGCTTATGGAGTGACGACCACTGACATCTTTCAGACTGTAGATCTGTGGGAAGGTGAAGAATTTAAATGTCCATTCAAATGTGTCATCCTTTAGTTAGTTTGTTAGGTTAGACGTACATATAAAATGTAATTTTGTGTATGTGTCTGTTTGATCTGGCCACAGGGAAAGACATGGCTGCAGTGCAGAGGACTCTCATGGCTCTGGGCAGTGTGGCTGTCACTAAAGATGACGGTCATTACAGAGGTGACCGGGACTGGTTCCATAGGTAAGGACAGAAATGACTGGGTCACACCAACATCATGTGCTCGTCTAAACCTAAACCTTTACGCCTGTACTCCACACTTGTTTCGTCTGTTTGCAGGAAAGCCCAGGGATACCGACGTGAGTTCACTGACGAACAGCTGCGCCAAGGAGAGTCTCTGATTGGCCTTCAGATGGGTAGCAACCGTGGAGCTTCTCAGTGGAGCTTCTCAATCAGGTAGGACAGGCTACGGTATTCACCGTCAGATAATGTAGACCACCTCCTACCCACCTGAGCGTCTTCTTGGCTTCCAACCTTTATTTTCTACTAATTCCACCAAGTGTTGTAGCCCAGAAACCTTTCCTGTCCTGCGTAGTCCGTACCATGTTAACCTCAACCTCCCTGGAATTGCTGCACCTCCCAGATGGTGTTCAAACCTCACCCTCGAGAAAATGATGATGTCAGATCCTGTAGACCTTCTACAAGTTGTTTACCCTTATGCCATGTGCTATTTGCTCCCTAGCAGTGGTGACTGTTATCTGACTGTTTTTTTGTTTTTTTTAAAAAACAAGCCATCAGTGTAAGCTAACCATCACAGTATGTTTTATGTTTTGTACCGCCACAATCCTGTTAGTTGAAAATGATCATCATTAGCCGTTCCTCTTTTACACTGTGATTATTTTTTTGGCCTTCACCCTATGGAACTTCGCTGACGATGTCTCTGCTATCTCGTCTAAAGACTTGTTGCAGTATCCTCTGTGACCAAATCGACCTCACGTTGTGCCTGGTTTTGGGACGACAGAGACCGGGTCCTGATTTTATCGGCCTCGAATTATAGATGAGTTTCATTCCCTCTGAGCCACACACTTTGTTAGATCAGAAATTATTTGTCCATAATGTATTCATTCGGTGTCCAGGCGGGTAGCTCCATGTGCAGTAGCCAACATGTACGACAGTCAAGTATCCATTTCTGGTGACAAATATAACGACACCGCTTTAATGTGCACATTTATGTGTTGTCATGTTTATATTTTGGAATATATTTATAAATGGAGGCTTGTAAAGAGAATAACCTGACTAAAATAAAGCAGAAGAACATATAGTATATTCACACGGTGTCTGCAGGAGTCTGTTGTGTTTATTACTGCTGTCGTCTGCCTTATCTGGGTTTCATGCTGCAGCTCCTCCCACCCACTCCTCCCTGCTGCTTCTGCTTATTGTACACAATCTAATAAAGAAGCAGCAGAGTGATGACAGTTCATCAACCAGAGCCCTGACTCAAGCTAAGGCCTGTCGAACTGTGACCTTCAGTAAAACATTAAATCCTGCACCAGTCTAGCTGTTTAATAGCTGATCCAACACCTGTTTACTCACACAGTCTTAACTGCACGACACGATGTATCCGACAGTAGGAGTGCTTCAATGTGACTTTGGTCTCTATTGTTTAACACTGTCAAACTGTCCGCTCTAACTTTAACTTGTTTACTCACAGCGTTGAGCCGCCTCCAGATAACATCTGCTGGGTGAGAGGGGAGCGCAAATGTTTGTCCAAGTCACATAACTGACAATGGGGTGGGCTCAGTACCACTGAAAGGTCACATTTGATGTCGGTGATTGAGTTTATGGGGTCATTGGACACAGACTGCTGGCATTTTAGAGTCAGCGTATGAGGAAGTCCAGCATTCATTTACATTTAATTAAAATGCAACACCTAAATGGAACCAATTACTGTGACTGTGTTTGAATCTAAGACCAAACATCAATTGTATTTTTGTATTTTCAGCA